TGAGAAATTTTATCAGTTGCACAATCCAATCCGTCTAAAGCTTAATTATATGTTTTTCTCTAACGAACGCAGTGAAAGAGAATAAATTTTATCTTTCAGTCCAAATATTGATCTACTCTTCTGCAGAAGGACAATATCGCTTATTATGAGTTTAATCAAGAAAAAGAAAGGAGAGAGATTGATATTGAGCTGTATCTACGCGTATATTTTTCTACGCACTCCATTATTTTTGATGGCTTCCCTAAGATTTAAATTAAATTTTTTCTCAATATATTTAATTAACGCGTCCGCCAAAGACCATCAGTCCAAATTTTTCCGTCAGACTTTCTAAATAAACTCCTAGACGGTTCGATGCAGCTGGTCAAGCTGATTCAGAATATCACTTTGGTTTTTGGTAAAACCTTACTTTAATGTGAAAGAAATTGACTGACAGCCAAAAACCAAAATTTAAAAAAACGCAGCACAGTTCACACTAACTGGCGTTACTTGGCGCTATGGTCAACGGTAGAGCACACATAGAGGAATATTTGACGAAAGTTTGAGCTCAATTAGACTTTAGCTCTTTGTAGCGTTTATAAAGTATGGAATGGTGAATTTTCCAAAACATTTTTAGTATAAAAAATTAAAAAAAATTTCTGGAAAAAATTAATGTTATACATGGTTCGATGCAGCTCGACGAGCTAATTCTGAATATCACCTTGGTTTTGCGCTAAAATGTTATATTAGTCGCAAAAAAAGGCATTTGGGATCAAAAACCATGGTTTTTTGGAAATCCTCCAGTACAGTCCAGAATCATTGGCGCTATGATCAATGGTAGAGCACACATAGAGGAGTATTTGGGGAAAGGTTGAGCTCGATTGGACTTTAGCTGTTTGTAGCGTTTACAAAATACAGAATGATGCATTTATGATACTCAATTTTAGCCTAGTAGATTTTTTTTTCTGTAGCAATTTGAGTTCAATGTAAACGATCTTTTCATTAAAATGGAGCTCATAGATGAATAATTCCGTTCAGATAGTTTTTCAAATTAAACTATTCCAATAAGTTGGCCAAAAAATTACCTTTATCTGAGGATAGCGATTTTTGAGCAAATTTCTTAGTATGTGTTTTTCCAACGTTCAACTTAATTTCTAAAAATGCTATTTCAGGACAAGATAGATCAAAAACAGAAGTAATTATACCAGTGCTTAAACTTGGAAAAATAACAGTTTCGTTTTATGTCCGCCTGGTTGCCCACTATGTCCCGCGTACTTGTGGCAACTCTGATTCAAACTGCTATGTCATGACGATATTTACTTTTATATTTTTGTAGTAAAAGAAAGCCCCCACTCAGTAGTGTTTATGTTATGAGAGAACTAAGTAAACAACTTCGACTTGTTTTTTGGACAAGTCAAGTCAAACATACCCAACTTGAAAAATGACGCGACCTGCCGCCTCTAGTCTAGCATAGGACATGCTTTCGTTTCTTTGATGATCGCAGTTTTTAACTGTTAAAAAAATAAATGTTTTTCTGCTGAAGCAAGAAAACATTGAGAAAGTTAATGAATACAGTTGAAGACTTCATTTTTATGCTATAAAATAACACAACAAAATTTAGGATAAAATATGTTATAGAAGGAATTGAATTAAACTGGTGAGTGCTTGTTTTATTTTAGAATTTGCAACATGGATGGAAAAATTCAAAAACCTTGGCCACACAAACCGTACCGATGAATACCACAACTGTTCAACCACCTTCTGCTACAACTGTGACAACTGCTCCGAATGTATCATCACAGATAATCATTGAGGATGATAAAAAACTTTTGAAACATTGTCGTTAATTTGGTTTGATAAAGATGTTAGTACAACAGACGATAATTTACGAACACAACAAAAGCTACGAGAATCAATTAATCATATTAAACATTCGATGATGTTGTTACATGCGAACAATGGATTAGACGACGACAAGCACAGAGAGAACTTAGTTCTTATCGTATCCGATAATAATTCAACCGCATTGGTAGAAAAACAAAATAAAAGTAAAAGTAGAACATAAATAGAAAGAAGAAAGTTAAAACAATACAAAGAAAACAGGACTAAATCAAGAAGTTTATCTTTCACGATGTTCAGCTAAAATCGAAGCGAAAGCATTTGACAAGTCTCTTGTTGCAGGTGGTAGTTTTGCTACTGTTGTTCCTTAGGCATACAGTCCCATCAATTTAATTTTCAATGGTGAAAGGCGTAGCTCTCTAGCTCTTATATTATCAAGTTGTTTAAGTTAGGAATGCCGCTAAACCTGTTAAAGGTAGTCTGGAACTGGCTATGAGGTAGACAAGCCAACGTTTTTTTGGGAAATGTGGCTCAAATGTTTTTGTTCGAAATAGGTTTACCCCAACGCAGCTCGCTGCCGCCTATTTTGTTCATCATTTTTCATTGTGATCTACCTTATCAGTTACGTGTGCACTCAAGCGGGATCTTTGTAGACGACCTGCAAGTAACAGTAACTCCACCAATTAGACCAAAAATAAGTCAAATGTTAAGGGCCCCCCCTCAGAAACTATCTCCGCCACCGTACATCCGATCTTGATGAAACTTTCCATAAATGTTTGGCTTAATGAGTTACGGGAATGAAAAAATGTTTTTGTCTCCAAGTCTTACTGTTCAGGAGTTTTCCAGAGATCAAGATCCTAAAAGGACCCTGAAGTGTTTCCCAAGATTTTTTAACATACTTCAAGCTGGAGAGTTCGGGTTTGTTTTGTTCTAAGCCAGACACTTAACTACATGGTCTGACCGACGTCGATTTTTCAACTAAGCCTTTATTGGTTTTCCAGGTAACCAACTACCTCCAAAACCCGAAAGCTCCTTCCGGATTTTCTAAAAATCCTTAATTTAGTAAATAACTAAGACCTAATTCAAAAATCGACGCCGATCAGACGATGTAGTTTCTTCTCCTCTTTGAAACAAAAAAAGAATAAACTCTCTATGACAAACCGCTATAAAAAATCTTGGAAAATACTTCAGGTGTAACTCTTATATAGAGAAAACGCTGTATTAAACGCTGTATGAAACACTCAATTTTAGAACTTCTAGGAAAATGCCTGTAACTTTTTGATGCAGAGTTATACAGGGTTGTTCGAGGTCTTATTTTGATCAGAAACGTTTGCTCTACAAATCTGTGTGTTTAGAAAAATTTTAATTGCATTAGTATCCAGGAAAAAGCTATTATTTGAAGATTCGGTTTTTCGAGGCTCCTAGAAAACTTGCTCAAAATCCGGGAAAAGCACTCTTGTAACCAAAAGCGATACAGATTCTGAAAGGAGACACTTCAGACTATCTACCCATGTGCTTATCTCAAAACCGATATTTTGACCGAAAATCACCATTTCTGAGGGAGGCGGGTCCTTAAAGTATCTAGCGGAGGAGGGACAGAGAGTGTGCAACAGAATTCTTCAGCATTCGATTGACCATGAATAACCGATTAATTATAGTAAAACTGTTTTTCAGATATTTCATTCCCAGATTAAGAGACCCACTATTTCCTCGTCAATGGTAGATCATAAGTTAGAGCAAGTGCAAACGGCATAACATAACTTTTTTGTAATAAACCACTAAATTTGTTTCTTAGCAAATCTTGCATAACATTCATTAATGGTTCTAAACAATTTATCCTGGTAATGTTTTTATCATTCGTTAACATTCGACTGAATAGAATCAGCGATGTTTTACCGTCTCCCATATTTAACTGATAAATACATACTATTTTCATTATTATTTCCTTGCATAGTTTTTAAAAGAGAACATTGAGTATGATGAATTAAAACATTGTTTTCGGTTTCAAATGATAACCAAGATGCATAGTCTCCTCTATAGCTGCTTTATGTTAAAAGATTTGTAAATATATTTTGTAATCTTTCTCCTTTTTTATCATTCGTTGAATCTATTGATTCATACTGGAATATATTAAGGGTATCCCTCCCCTCATTTTGACCTTTCCGTAGATACTGTGAAATAAAAACTAAAAAACTCACTAAGATTTCATACTTTCAGAACTGATTGGAAACTCAATAGAGCATTTTTTCGTTTTTGTTTCATTTTTTAACTATTGCCGTTTATCAGCTATCCAGAAAACCCGGTTTTTCATTGTGTCACATTACGACCCTGCTTAAATTTCATCCGATCGAGTTAAAAATTTTACCAGACGTACTTAAGGGTTGAAGGGGGTTTTTGAAATATAACGTGATCAAAATCGAACTCCCTACTAAAAATGCCCCAACTAAAACCAATTCAACTAACAACTTGTTAGTTTATTACTTACTTTGTTAAGTAGTTCAAATAAGGGTGCTACGACACAAATCTAATTATGAGGTTTCTCGGTGTTCTCATGGAACGCCTCTTAACTAATCATCCTATATTTTCTTTGGAATATAAATAATTGTAATACACTTTTGTTTATTGACGATAATAATCGATGAGACTAAGTTTCATTGTATGATTTGTCCTAATAATTCTAAACAGCGGTTGCTTATACGAAAAGCAACTGCAAAAACTAAAATGCAATCGTGTTACGTATATCTTGCGAATGCCATGCAGAATTTGCGAACTATCATACCAGACTACATCTAAAGCCTTGTACGGAAAAATCTTTTATCCTACTCTTTGCCTTTCTTTCCTGGTGGCTCTAGGCATGCACCAGTTACAGTTATGTGTAAAACTGTAACTGTCATAACTGTAATTGTGAAAACTGTGACGGCTCATAGCTGTAGGCAAATATTCTAGAGTGATTAGTCTTGCTTGGATATTCTTTTTGAATTTGTCACACCAGATCTATACACATTACAACGTGACACGACTATTCCGCGAACGACGCATCCCCGAACCGACTCTTCGGCGAATTTTTCTTAAAACAAATTTACGTATTTCTGGCAGTGGGGAGGGACGGGATAGGGCAGTGTGAGAACGAGTTCGAAAAGTTGTTTCACATAAAAGATATTTGCATCCCATAGTGTTTGAGGGTTTCACGTACTTCTCTGGTATGCCGGTATTTTAAGTTGAAGCTATTTTAAAATATTTTTAAAGGCTATGTCCATTAAAACCCGTTGTTTTGTTAGTTTGTTTAACATCTATTTACAAAAACTGGCGGAAGAGTCGTGGCACTTAAGAAGTCACTGTAGTTATACAAGACATACAATCAAGACAGCGGCGACTCAGCTGTGTACACCTAATAATTTAAATTCAATTATAATTTTGATCCGGTTTTTATTAGTCGGTGTCCTGTTCGCGGAAGAGTCGGCAGTGCTACCTACACTGTAATTTGGAATTATTTTCTACTTTATAGAAAATCGATCTGGAAAATCAAGCCAAGGATTTTACAACTTTTACAACACCCTCAGCGATGTTCTAACTATTTAGAAAATGTTGATTTTCTACCTTACAGAAAATCCGCTCGATTCTCTATGAATTGACTTTTCTCATTTGCCAGAAAATCGGTAAGGAATTTCTAAAAAGTTGGAAAGTCGACAGCGATTTTCTATAAATAATTTTCAGCATTGTAGAAAATTTACTCAATTTTCCAGATATTCTACAAATAAATCGCAACATTCTTGAAATTCGATAGCGATTTTCTAAATAGCTAGAAAATCGAATTCGATTTTCTCACAAGACGAATAGGAGATTTTTTTTCTTGCTTCTTTTACATCTATTAAACCCTACATTGCAACAAGTTGTCCTGTAACAGATCTCAGCTCGTTTTCGTATTTAACATCGGAAATGTTCGTAGATTCGGAAAGTTCTCTCAATTTTTTGCAAATCAGCATATTCTTCGAGAAGTGAACCTATTATTGTTGTATTCGCTCTTCCTAATATTCAACAGTCTTATGTCTAAATTTAACATCTTTCAAAAATGTAGTGGATTCTATTAACCCAAAGACATGATACCAACAATTCACATTTATTTTACTGTAATAAAATAAATAAGAATTAACAAGAGCGAATACAACAGTAATAGGTCATAGACTATCTGGAAAATCGAGTCGATTTTCTAGAATGCTGAAAATTATTTATCGCCAGAGACAGGATGGTCCAGATCAGGTCCAGGTCAAATGTCCAGGCCTGACCTAGCAAAAGTGGACTTGGATCTGCAAGACGTGAACCTGAAAAAGGGGACCTGGCCTTTGACCTGAACCTGTACGCGTGACCTGCCGGCATAAGCAGCATAGCAGCTATTGACTATATCCAGCAGTGTGAAACTGAATTATTTCATACACATTTTCTCTCCTGTTGGAAACTCTGAGAGCAATATGAAAAATCGTAATAACCCTATTACCTAAAGACATTTTTGTTCAAAATACCTATCACGTGCTTCTCACATATTCTAAGACCTTCTTAAACTCTAGTACAGGATATTATAAATTCACATTACCCTCAAAATTTTTTCATGCAACGGACGCTGTGTCCAGGTCACAAGCTCAGGTGATAGATCCAGGCTCAGGTCAGGTCTAAGCCTAGGTCCATTTTTTTCAAGTGCAGGTCCACAGGTCCAGGCTCAACTTTATAGGTCAGAACCAGACCCGAGGCAAAATTGTTCATTAGATCGAATAACAATAAGCCACCTTATAGTTAAACTTTCTAGTTTCTCCTACAAGTTTTGACCTTGACCCGTGCAGGTCACAAGTAAAGGTCTAGGTATCCTGTCTCTGGAAATCGCGGTCGACTTTTCACCTTTTTAGAAATTCCTTATCGATTTTCTGGCAAATGAGAAAAGTCAGTTCATAGAAAAAAATAAACTAGAAAATAATTCCAAATTGCAGTGTAGGTGGCGCTGCTCGGCATTAATTTCATT